TACCCCCTTGTATTATGGATGCTTCAATTACTTATTCTTGCCAGGTGGGGTGTGTGTGTATGAGTTGGGGGTACCCCCTTGTATTATGGATGCTTCAATTACTTATTCTTGCCAGGCGTCTGGCGGAGATGGCACTGAGTAAAAAGACTCATCTGTACTGTTTTGTGTGATGAAGTAGAATTAAAAGCGAGTTAAGAGTGAGTGTAACTGGCTGGAATAGGATTACGCTCCACTGGCACCATGTTCTGAACAGTAAGAGTAACTAAATGACTGGACAAACTTCAGAATCCTAAAAAACATTAGCTTATTATATAAATAGGGCATTGCAATAACAAACACTCCACTCCTAACAGAAAGCAGGAAAATCTGGTGTTTTTTAAACTTCATTCCAAAAGAATTACTCCCAAACAGCCTTGGAACTATATCATTAGGGGTGAAATCAAGATTTATTTTGCTGACCTCCTCTCCCCAGCATACTGAGCAGCACATCACCGTTCCTTTGCCCCTGATTTAGCGAGGCTAGTGCTTCCCCGTCCACTACCGATTCGGCATTAACATTCTTTATACAAGTCAAAGCACAGTGTCTGCATTCAGGTTGTCATTTCTGAGATTGAAGCAAACTGGCATAAAGATATTTGAAACATTTAAGTGCATTGATAACTAGGCTTCCTTAGTTTCCATAAAACTTGGCCATACAAGGTCATTTGTGGGATTTCTTCCATTCTCTAACTGAGCCCTAAGAGTCCAAACTGTTTTGTTATATTGTTATCAAATTCTTAGTCTGAGACTCTTCTCTATTGTCTAGAACGGTGCTAAATGCCAGCTCATGATGCAATATTGGCTCTATCAGAATCAAGTGGAGGCTGCCGGAGACACAGATTCCAGGATGCCACCCCAGGAGACAGATCTAGGAGGTCAGTCTGGGATCCAGGAAGCTATGTTTTAGAACAACAACAAAAACAAAACCAGATGGCCCGGATGATTTGGACCATTGTGGGAAAAGCTAGTCCAGCTGTTGGGTTCGAGAGACAAATTTGTGTATGAGCTCCCCCCCATGGGAGTTACTCACCACACTACTGGGAAGAGGATGGCTCCACAGCATAGCAGGTCAACCAGAAACAGAGAATCCTTCCACAAGCTATACTCAGTCGTCCCCTCCTCAGTGGATTCTATGATGATATAGGCCACGTTTGCCAGGACCTGTGGGGACATGAGAGTCACTGAGGCCTGAAAGCATAGACTGTGTCAGAGAGACTCACTGGGTGTGGACACCTGGGCTTAAGACTACATCCCATGGACACAGAATTATTTCTAGTTCCAGAACTCGGCTGCTCTCCTCACAAAAAGTAGCAGCTCTGTGGTGGTTGGACCAGGAGAATACAGTGGCAGTGGTGCCATGTGATGTCCAAAGTTAGGTCATAAAAAGGATACAGCTTCTGCTTGGCTCTCTCTTTTGATCCCTGAAGCTGTCATGTGGCGAGCAGCTGGAGGGGTTAGCCCCTTCCTGAGCAAGTCTTCTGAGGACAAGAGACAGGGGCAGAGGACGAAGCCTGACTAGACCCCATGAGATGCCCAACCACTGCTGAGTCACTGACTCACATAGCCTTTGAGAGAAGATACCTGGTTCTGGTGGTTTTAAGCTACTACGTTTGGGGGTGACTTGTGCAGCAAGGGTTAACTAGAGCACTATACTTTGCTTTTTAGGGACCGTGTCCCTCAGCTGCTGAGCAGGTAGTCCTTTATCCCCCATTTGTCCACAATTCCCACACCCCTCAGCCCAGTGAAAAGAACTCTCCTGAGTGTGCTGGAGCTGTGGGACGAGGGACCACAGCAGCAGGAGCTGCTCCGAAACGAGGAACTCAAGCCCTTTTCCCGTCACCGGACATGGCGTAGCTCTCCCACTGACGCTCACGTGTGTCCATGTGCTCACTGCCTCTGTTTCTAATGTAAGGCTTTGCTCTGTGGGCTTAGTGTGTTATGAAAAGTTTTTCAGCTGACAACAGTAAAAAAAATTGGAATGCATAAGGAAAACTCACACTTCATGATACAGTCTTTTGCAGATCTCCATTAGGCATGGAAGTAGAAGGGGATTTTTTCAAAAATCATTTTATTGGAGGCTCTTATACCAATCCATACCTCAATGGTATCAAACACATTTGTACATATGTTGCCATCATCCTTTCCGAAACATTTTCTTTCTACTTGAGCCCTTAGTATCAGCTCTTTTTTTTT